CTTAGTAGATACTGGGAGCTCACTCAACATACTTTACACAAGCACCTTGGAACAAATTGGTGTTCCACCCAGCTTCTTGCAGCCGTATCCCAGTATGATTATGGGAATTGATGGTGTGCTCTCCGGGGCAGAAGGTGTGATCAGACTCCCAATCGAGCTCGGAGAACCACCACGTCGGGCTAAGCTGAACGCTGAGTTCGTAGTTCTACGCGCAAGATCTCCTTACGATGTCATCATGGGACAACCCCTATTGTTCGACCTTAGGGCGATAGTGTCGTTGTATCATTATTCTATCAAATTCCCCATACCCCACGGTACAGGGTTAGTCAAAGGGAATAGAGTCGTCACCAACGAATGTCAAGTAATTATCAATAACAAAGAAAGGATTTGTTATCCTTTGGGAACCTATATGGCGTGTACAAGGGAGCCCCCAGCAAGTTCACTGGACCCACGGCTAAAAATACGAGGAGGAGAACCTGTGGAAGAACTGGATGGTGTCCAAGTCGGAACTGAGAAATTCCCAAAAGAGTTAAAGATAGGGCATGAACTGCGGCCTCCATTACGAGGCCAGCTCATTGATTTCCTCCAAAAGAACCTTGATATCTTCGCCTGGGAACACTTTGATATGAAGGGAGTGGACCCAAGGATCATGTGCCATAAGTTGGGGGTCGACCCCTCGATTCCACCAAAGCAACAGCGACGTCGCCCCTTAAACGCAAAACGGTATGAGGCCCCAAACAAAGAAGTGCAAAAGCTACTTCAAAATGGGTTTATTCGGGAAGCCAGATATCCGAGAAGGATCGCCAACCCCGTTCTGGTCAAGAAGAGTAACAGGGATTGGAGGATGTGCATAGACTTCACTGACTTGAACAAAGCATGCCCAAAAGACAGCTTCCCACTCCCAAGGATAGATCAAATGGTGGATGCTACTGCGAGACATGACTTACTCAGCTTTATGGACGCATACTCAGGTTACAACCAAATTCCCATTCACGAATCTGATCAAGAGCACACCGCCTTCATCACCGACCGAGGTCTCTACTGCTACAAAGTGATGCCATTCGGCCTCAAAAACATCGAGGCAACGTACCAGCGTTTGGTTAACTCTATGTTTGCCAAACAGATCGGCAAAACCATGGAAGTATACGTGGACGACATGCTGGTTAAAAGCATGAATGCCAAAAGTCATCCACAACATCTCGCTGAGATGTTTGGGATCTTAAGGTCATATGGAATGAAGTTGAATCCACAGAAGTGTGCCTTTGGCGTGAGATCGGAAAAATTCTTGGGGTACATGGTAAATCGTAGGGGAATTGAAGCCAACCCTGAAAAAATAAGGGTAATTGTCGAAATGCGCTCCCCGACTATGCCCAAAAAAGTCCAAAGCTTAACCGGGCGGATAGCCGCCCTTACCCGCTTCATGTCAAAATCAACATATAAATGCAAGCCCTTCTTTAACATACTGAGGAAGGGAAAGAAGTTCGAGTGGACCCCCGAATGCCAGCTCGCGTTCGACAAGCTAAAATTACATCTAGCACAACCCCCAGTACTGTCTAAACCAAGAAAAAAGGAGGTATTACTGCTCTACTTGGCAGTATCAGAACATGTTGTTAGTGCGGTACTGGCCAGGGAGGAAATGGGAGTCCAACACCCTGTGTATTACATTATTAAAGCCCTACATGAAGCTGAACTCCGTTACTCCCCACTAGAAAAGTTGGCTTACGCTATCGTCACTGCAGCTCGGAAGTTGAGGCCCTATTTCCTGGAACATCCAATCGAGGTCCTAACTAATTACCCTTTAAGGCAAGTATTACAAAAACCCGATACCTCCGGAAGGATGGTAAAATGGTCAGTTGAACTTGGCTAATTCGATATAAGGTACAAGCCGCGCACCTCCATAAAGGCCCAGGCCCTAGCTGATTTCATTGCTGAATTCAGCTCAAACCCGCATGAAGAGCCACACCCACTCATACCTTGGAAGCTCTTCGTGGACGGCTCTTCAACAGATGAACGAGCTGGAGCAGGGATAGTACTTATTAGCCTAAAGCAGCAAGTTTTTTGCGAAGCGCTGCCCTTTGACTTCAACGCATCCAACAACGAGGCTGAATACGAAGCTCTCATCGCTGGATTGCGAATGGCCAAAGAAATGGGAATCGACCATTTGGTTGCATATAGTGACTCTCAATTGGTAGTCAATCAAGTCAACAACATCTATCAAGCCAAAGAGGGTAGAATGAGCGACTACCTTCAGCTCGTCAAAGAAAAATTGAAAAACTTTGGTCATGNTCAACGAAGCTTACCAAGCTAAGGATAAAAGAATTAACAAATATCTTCAGCTTGTCAAAAAATAGTTACAGAAGGTTGGTAATGTCCAGTTTGAACGAGTTCCACGAACTCAAAATGGACATGCTGACGCTTTAGCTCGGCTAGCAACCAGTGAAGGGGTTGAAAGGTTTGATAGTATTCCAATAGGAAGGATTTGCCATCCTGCTATTGAAGGATCTAGAGCTGTCCATATGGCTACCGATTTCAAACCAACATGGATGGGTGAGATCATTTCGTACCTACGAACAGGCGCATGTCCCGAGGACCTCGTCATGGCAAGAAAGTTACGAATAAGGGCGGCAAGGTACACACTGATCGACGACATCTTATACAAACGAGGGTATTCTGTGCCCCTACTTAGGTGTCTAAATGAA